TCCTTCCTTCCTTCCTTTGGCCCAGAATGTAATAGGCCATGGACCACTCAGAAAAGCTCTGCTGGACAACACTGGGAAGATGCAATGCTGGTGGAAAAGAACTGCCTATTTGCTATCTGCACTGCCACAGAATAGGCTTGATAATGAGCTCCAATCCATTTTTTATCAGATTTGGCAGGAGTTTTCCTGCACTCTAGGTGTCTCCCTGCTTGCTTCATTGGCCTGAACTCGTGTGTACCAAGGAGTTGGCCAGACTCTAATCAAGGGAAGAGGGCCCTTGGGTGTCATCCACCTGAGCCATCTCTATATTCCCAAGAGTGACCTGGGCTTTGATAGGAGTAGGCATACCAGCTGGAAACCCCCAGAGCCCCCTGGAAACCACCAGAACCCATTAGCCTTTGTAAAAGGTTTCCCCACCCTTGCAGAAGGAAAAGGGAACTGAAAGTTTAAACCTCAGTAGGAAGTAATCTGACCATGACAAGGGTGTTGATGTTAATTCTTCTGGATTACTATCCTCCTGCCCAGTCAGGAAAACTAAATCAAAGGTGTCCTTTTAAATGCATTGTTCCAATAGCATTGAGACAGCCCCATGGTTATCATGGAGCTGTTCTGAATGCAGCAGCCTTGGCATAAAAGTTAGGATCCCCCAGAACTATCTTCCAGGGGGTCCTCAACACCATGTCAGAGACCACCTCCATTAGTCCAAGCAGGGAAGCAGACAGGCAGAATCTCTAATCTGTCCCAAGCACCCAGCACAAGGTAAACACCCAAGACTCACAGTAGAGTGAAAAAGGAAGCCTATAGAGGAAGGTTATATTCCTGTAGATCACATCTCCACCCCCAGTCCTCAAGTCAAAGCTGGTGCTGTACAGAGTACCAAGGTGGACACAACTGAGAGAGAGTAACTCCTCATGGCTCACCCACCCAGGTCTCAGTGATGCAAGCCAAGTCATTCCCCATATCCCCAATCAGGTCATGGATGGGGTAAGTTTTTTTTGGACTGCACCACCAAATCTGAGGACAAGCTGGCAAGGCTGCCTGGAATCATCCAATCAGGTGAAAAGCCGGAAGAAGGGATAGCTGTGAGGTATCTAGCTCCTCTTCTCCTTAACTGGCTTTGTGGTGCTTTAGCACTGTATCTGCCGTACCCATGACCACAGTAACCAGAGCACCGTCTTGCTCCCCAAATGGGTACATGATTAAAATGGTATACAGTAAAAACAAACCTGGCTGTTACTCTTTTAACCTGATCAATAGCAATTTCTTTGAGACTGTCCTCTTTCCAAACCAACCCACTGCAGTCCCAAAGCAGTCACCAGACAAGCAATGCCCTTTGACACTGCCCTTCAGCCACTTCCTAAGGCTGCTGCCTTGGTCTTCACTCTTTGAAGTAGCTGCTGGTGATGGTGGCCTTGCTTCTGGAGCACAGCTGCTGCCTCTCCAGCCAGGGGCAGGTGGCTATTCCATAGGGCAGGCACGGCAGGCAGTCCTTGTGGTTGTAGGAATCCCATATGTAGAACCTTCCTGTTCTAAAAATTGTAAGCAAATCTTGCCTTCAATGTTTAACAAACCTTTTCTCTGTAACATGTAGGCTTTTTAATGTCAAACTTGGAGTTTTTAGGAATTTGAAAAACAACACCTGATTCTCAGCTGGAAGTTTTCAGCAATACAATAAGCCATTGTCTTTGAACATAACAGTGGCCTATTGGTTTAGCATTGAGGTTTCAAGAGTCCATGGAATTCAAGTTTGAATCAAGCAGACAGTTTCCCCATTTTTAACATATTATGCACGTGCCTCATCCCTGATTGGCATGGTTGTACAAAAAGGCCATTTATAGTTGTTTGTATGAGCACATTTAAAACTAATGCTGTGGCATTTTTGCAAGTGTAAACACTAGGCCTGCCACACTGGATTCAGAGTCAAATACTTGGCTGCACAGGGTAGTGCACGCAGGGGAAGCAGTCCATGGTGCACAGCTGCTGATGGGCTGCATTCCAGATATTTATGTTCCTCTTTTTTTGCAATTTCCTTACACTAGAGTTTGTCTAGCATATTTAGATTTTCTGCAATGACAGACGGCATGGCCTTCATCCAAAAGCCAAATATTCTGGGACAGATTTGAATGAAAATATAACCTTTAAAGGAGATTATTCCAGAGTATAATATTTGGATCATGGTTTATGTCTCTGCAATATTTAGTAGAAAGATTCAGTTTAGTTCACCTGTTAGAAAAGTAGCTAAAGTTTATTGGTTTTGGACGATAGAGCACATACTTGTTTGCTTCTTCTTAAAACAGGTATGGCAGTAACTTGCAGTTGTTGATTGATTAATGCACTTGACCACATTCCTTAGCGGTATGAGTTCAGTTTTAAAAGTTTCCCCACATAAGTTTTACCTTCACATTATGCATCTTTTATTAAATTCTTTGGTTTCAGGAACTTTAACGTGGCTACATAGACATTTCTTACACATATATCTAGGAATTACCAGAGAAACTAATGCTTTGTAACTGTGCTGCCAAATTATCAAGATACAGATCTCTTCTGATATTGCTATTCCACTTTACGAATACAATTCTCAGTGAACATAAAGTAGCATAATGTAGCTTTTGAAAACCTAGTTACCTGATGCACCTGGTTGACTAAATGAACTACATGTCATCTCAGTTTATAGCTTTTTTAAAGTCCCATTTCAATGTAACAAAATACAGCTCTCATTTATTGGGTTATATATAAGAAACTGTTATACACTGTTACACCAGAAACCCATTGTGTGGTGGTGGGGGGCATTCTATTCAGAGCCTGGTTGAAATGCACACCCTTTACCTTCTTGCAAGTATTTATTGGGTATTGGGCAGATTCATAACTTCATGTGCCATAAAAAGGGTCCAGCTGCACCTTCTAGTTGATCCAAAGGAAAAATAGTTAATATTCTTTGGAAGTGATCTGTAGTTATTATGCCAGGTAGACAGAGATAGGTTTTTCCAATCCTCCTGGACTCCATGCTGCTTCAGCTGGTATATTCTCAAGGGAAGTTGTCCAGATTTCATCATTCACTGGGTTTAGACTGTGATGGAGGAAATGGCACAGTTCCACACCATCTCGCTTCTTTGTCCATGACTGCTAATTCTATTCTTAACATTACTTCCTTTTCATGCTGTCACTGTCTTTCATTATCTTAAGACACAACCCTCCCGCTTTTCTGAAAAGGTGTCAGTTGATGCCTGTCTGCCCCACACTGTTGTCTTTTGCTCACCTAACACTTTACTTGGCACTGGGGGCGGGGGGAGCCCATTTGCCTTTTCAGTTAAGTATCTTTTTATTTCTTCATTCTCATTTTCAATAAGTTGGGCATAGGATTTAACTTATGCAGTGTGAAGGAGTCTTTTTAAATATGATCTTGATTCTGTCAAATCTTGTGAAGGAACTTAGATTACTCTTTGGCTTGGCTTAGGGAGGCTTCAGCTTGAATCTGAGGCAAGCGACAGTTCAAAAGCCTATGGCCTATCTGCTTGAGAGGATGAAAACAAGACTTAGATGCTCTTGCAGTTTGTCCTGGCAAAGCTCAATCTATTCTTTCCATCCTATTCCCAACCCTGTGATCTGACACACAGGTGGGATAGATCTGGGAACACGGTGTCCATATAAAATATGCAGTCAACTTTTTGTTTTATTTTTATTTATTTATCGATTTATATCCTGCCTTTTTCCTACAAAGGACTCAAGGCAGCTTACATCTCCTTCTCTATCTTATTCCCACAACAACCCTGTGAGGTAGGTTAGGCTGAGAGTCTGTGACTGGCCCAAAGTCACCCAGTTGGCTCCATGGCTGAGCGGGGACTAGAACCCAGATCGTCTGAGTTCCAGTCCCATGCTCTTAACCACTACACCACACTGGCTCTCACAACTTTTGGTTGTAGATGTTATTACTTTGTAAGATGAGAAAGTAGAGAAAATAAGGAAGTCATATTTTTAAAAAGGAAATAAAACAGTTCTAAATAGTCTTACAGTCTTATAGACTTATGACATTTCCTGTTTTTGATAAATAAAACACATGAAGTAGGTCTTATATGGTAAATTTGGGGGGGGGGAGGCTTTTCCATGACACATCTACTTTTGTCAAGTGGACAGGCTAGACCCTGACAAAGATAGATTCTGTAGGAGACAATTGGCCAGCCTGTCTTTGCATATATTTTAGCCCAGTTGTGTTTACATTCACTTGTAGCTGCTCTTGGGGATTCCAGGCAGAGATTTTCCCCAGTTCTGTTACTGATTGTTTAACTAGAGTTCAGTTTGAGGCACCACTATATACTCAACTGTGGAACTCACCCACGCCTATAGTATCCAAAGAATTCAGATCCTTAACATAAGACTTCAAAAACACAGTATTAGTATGTTGAGGCATTCCCCAAAGGCATGGAAGAGTGCCAGCCTGGTAGTCTTGTTTCCCCTGAATAGAAAGAGCAGTGACCATGGATGGATTAATGTCTTTGGTCCTGACATTATGGGGGCAGGAGCTGATGTTGCTCTTTGGATCAGGCAAATTGCATTCTAGAGTATCATCATCATCACCACCATCATCATCCAGAAGCCCTGTTGCAAGCTTTGGACCAAAGGCTCATGATTTGAGTGCTACAAAAGTAAGAACTATCCTAGTATCATCTGAGATCACATGCTTAGCAGTAGAACTAAATTTTTGAGATTGCTGCTGGCTGGCTGCTGCTTTTCTGTTCCTGGTGGTGGCCGTGGCTGTGTGGAATGGGCCATTTGCCAGATGTGATTAAGAACATTTCTAAAATACTAGTGTGATTCCAGTGTGGCACAGGAGTTGGACACAACTGGATGACTCTGGAGTAGGGGGTTGAAGCGGATAGCTAATTACATAACACTAGAGGTTGTTTAAGAACTTACTTGACATTACAAAAGTAAAGTAGAACAGAGTAGTGACTTTGCCATTGTTTTAGTGACTTTTCTCTAAGTTCCGAGCTCTTTGTGGCATTGTTTTCTTAACACCTTTCATCAATAGGCTAGACTAGCCACTGGAGTCTAAGATGTTTGGAGTCTTTGGAATGATCAATACTGTAATGTTCTCATTGCTCTCTCCCCCTTCTTGTGTTCTCTCTCTCTCTCTTTAATAATAAAAAAGCTTTTCCTGTGATAACCTGTTTGTTCAGATAATATCTTTTCATATTTGTGAAGAAGACAAAGGAAGTACAGTGCTAAGCACAGAATAGTTATTAAAAACAGTTGGAAAGCATATAAAAGGTTCCGTGTGTGTGAAAAATAGGACAGCTGTGATGGTCTATTGGGAAAGTATGTACAGATGGTGGTAGGGAGGAGAATGATGACTGCATGGCTGATAAATGAAATACCAGAGAGAGAGAGAGAGAGAGAGAGAGAGAGAGAATATGAATGAGAATGCATTAAGTTGGTGATTGCTGTAAATATATTTTTGGGGTACATCATTAGAATTCTTAGTCTGCTAGCTATTTGGCCAGGAAGTACAACTGTCTATACATATTTTGAGGTCCGATTTTGTTTACAAAATGAAGGAAATGTTTAATAAATTATATGCCATGTAATTATTAGAGAAGGTAATTAACATATGGTTTTCTTCACATTTAGAATGTCATGAGTTTGTCATAATGGTGTCCATAATACCTCACATAAAATAGTGTCTGAATTAGTCAGCGTTAATATGTGGAATTTTTATAAAGCAAATTTGTAATGTGTTGCAAGAGAGATGAAAAGATGGAATAAATGTGGATTTAGATAATTGTGATGTGAGAGCTTTAACAATCAGAAGAAGAAGAAATTACTTAAACTTGGTTTTTAAACACTGAAATACCTAACACATATTTTTGGCTTATTTAAAATATTTCTTGTGCAGTTTTCCACCAAATGTACACAGCTATATATGAAGGAATGCACATGACACTACTATTTATGCATCCCATTTAAAATGCCATCTTTATAACTGAAACAGGGTGAAGAAGAACTTGGCTAATGGAAAAGAAAGTTGTTTGAATTCAATTGTTCTATCCTGGGTCTTTTTTTTTCCCAAATATGACATCTTAGATTCAACATACTCTTTTGTTATTTTTTATAGGGAAGTAGCATAATTTCTTCCCTTGGGCTCTTGATAGGAATGTATCTTTTAGGCACTTAGTAAATATGATTAGATTGATCCAAAATGGTGTTGCTAATAGAGGAAAGTATGGTTGCTGTGGCTCCTACAGCAGTAAGCACTGAAACAGGAAGGTTGAAAGGCTGAGTCTGTTCCTCCTGTAACACTCTTGTAGCATTAGGAAATAGTTTGTGCATTTCCTGAAAAGTGGAGAATCACTCTTGCAGCTCACTCATGTGTTTCCTGCTTTATCAGATATAGTTTTAACATGCAAATTGGTCCTAGGGCTATATGCAAACCTACCTTGAAATCAGAGCTTACTGCTCTTTTTTTCTCCTGGAGTTGAAACCAAACTTTCGCCTTGGCTTGGCAATGCATTTTACAGTGGATAGAGTGCTAATTCAGTAGTCTGACTTGCCCTTCACACCTGGATTCAGGGACCTTTTCCTTTTAAAAAAACACAAACCAAACTTTTTCAGGTATAGCATTCTTTTGAACATTTGTCTGATACTTTATTTGCAATCATTCACACATATGCCCTAATACGAGAAACTTTTTAAAAAGGCCCTCCGCCGCCTTTTAATGGTTGGTTCTATCCCCCATGCTTTTAACATCTGCTGAGTGGACTCATCAAGAATTCTGGAGTGCATTTCCATCACTATGCCAATGACATGCATCTCTATGTCTCCTTTGCTCCTTATCAGGTAAAGGTTTTTATATGCTAAACCAGTACCTGGCTGTAACCGTGGACTTGATGAAGGTGAATAAGCTGAAGCTCAATCCAGACAAGACAGAGCTGCTGTTGCTGGGTGGTTCCTCTGAATAGGTGGTGGGTGTTCAGCCTGCTCTAGACATAGTTGTACTAACCATAGTTTGGAGTAGCTTAGGAGTGTTCCTTGATACATCTTTGTCACTTGAGTATTAGGTGGCCTTGGTGGCATGGAGTGCCTTCTACCATCCTTGGCTGGTGGCCCAGTATACCCTAATTTCAGTAATCTACTCTCACATAATCTCCAAGTTAAGAGTACATAAATGCACATGGTACTGCCCTTGGTCAGAAGCTGCAGCTTGTACAAACCATGGCAGCCAGAAGCCAGGGGTGGGGCAGAAGGTCTGAACGTATTACACCAATTCTGGCCTGCTTGCATTGGCTGCTGCTGTGTTTCCAAGTCCAATTCAAGGTGTTGGTTTTAACGTTTAAGGACCTGCATGATTTGAGGCCGCAATATCTGATGGAACACATCTCCTGACCTCAGTCATGACAGACCTTACAGTCTGCATCTGGAGCCTTCCTCCAAGGGAGCCCCAAAAAGAGGCAACAAGGAGGAAGTGGGCCTTTTCAGTTTGGGCCTGCTGTGGTGTCCCCTCTGTGGCCTGCCTAGCGCCAACAGTATCATCTTTTTTGGCACCATGTCAACACTGCCTTTTATTCCCAGGCACTTAATGGCATATGATGGGTTATGTCAGCTGTTATGTCCGGTCTTGTTTTATTGAAAATGCTTTAGATGTTAAACTGCTTTATATTTTTGTATAATTGAATTTGTAAGCTATTTTAAAGTATATTTTGAAATTTTTTACTGTGTTTTATTTTATCTTTTTCTTGTATCTTTTTGTAATTTGATTAATTGCAGTGAACCTCCCAGGGAGCTTCAACTATCAGGCAGTATAAAAATCAATCAATCCTGAACCAGCAAATCCTCTCCTTCACAGACTGCAGAGTAGGTCTTCCAGTTGCTCACTGTCATTTCCCAAGCATCTTCTTCCATCTGACTAGAATCTTCAACCTAGTAAAATGAATGTATCTGTTCCAGGCCCCTTGAAACTATATTCGGAGCTATTCTGCTTGTTCTGCTCTCTCCCTTTACAATGTCATTACTACTACACATGCCTTTGACAGTAACAAAACAAGGCCTCAGGTACATTGTTGCTTCATGGAGGCTGCAGAAAGTAAATACTAAGCAAGTTATATACAGGACCTTTCTTCACAGCAACCCCATGGGTGTGTTCTTGCAGCTCTTTTCACACTATGGGAGAAGAATGGTACTCTGCAGTCTAGTCCTGCTGCAGCACTTCTCCATGTCCATGCAGATGCTTGCAAAAATAGCATTAATTGGAGAGATTCCAATACTCTTTTACAACTATATGATACACAGGACCCTTTCTCATCAATGCTGAATGTGCAGTGTTAGGTAGGGGAGAGGCATGGCCAGCAGGCACATCAACGATTGGGCCATGGTTACTCCTCCCAGGTTTTCAGGTATGCATTGGAAAAATGTCCAGTCCCAATATGGTTTGGCTTGTTTTGAAAGAGGCCCACAAGATATATAACACTACTGGTGTGTGACATACCAGGCCATAGAGAAAAGCCAGATATAATTATTTCAGATATAAAATTAATTTTATTAATTGAAGGATTTGCAATCCATCGAGCACCTTATAGATCAGTGAAAGCAGGACAGGTTTCTAATCTGAAGAGTCAACACAAGGGGTCAGGGATGAAAGGGGAAACATGAAAACTCAGACACTGACTCTTCATGGTATAAGGTTTTTATCATGGACTGCCATTAACAACAATTGTCTGTTGTTGGTCTTCTTGAGAGCAAGAAATTACTCTTCTTTCCATTTAGCCAATGGAATCAACCTGATGCAGTGGTTGCTGGTGGACTCTTGGGGAGACACAAAGTTTTCTGAGCCTGGCTTTTCAGAAAGGCTGCTGTTGGTCCTGTCTTCACCACAGCCTGATGGAACAGCTGATGGTTGAGTTATTTCAGTTACACCATTTGTCTATGAGTGACCAACCTGTGGCCAGAGTCCCACAGCATTAGTGACTGGTGCAGAGGGCCGACCTGCCTCTCATGTGCTTCATTGTGGTTATCTTTGAGAGTCATTAGGAACTACTTCTTTAAAAATCCCCAAAACAAGTTTCCACATTTATTCTGATTGTCTTTCTGGATTTAACGAGCTGGCTGGAACCTGTGACTTACTTGCCAGAATGACTGACTGCAACAGAACATTAACTTTTAATCCATTGGTGGTGAGTTTGAGTCTCATGAGTTTTTGCTGTTGTGATCCTGTCTTAGATGGTTAAGACAGTCTGTCTGCTCCAGCCAGCAGTGTTGAGGTCTCAGGCAGTGCAATCCTGTGCATATCTACTTAGCACTACCCTCTGGTTTCACTGGGACTTCCAAATATTTCTGTTTAGGATTTAGCTTTTGCATTTGGTGAGCTAATTTATGGTCAGCCCTATCTTTACCATAATGTAATTTGAAGCACACAGACAGAACAGATTTTTTGTAATACTTTTGAAGCAAAATCACTGCAGACTGCCTTTCTTCAGTTCTCCCTACTGATCCATTACTTGGTGCCCCTGTGCACAGTTTCAGATACAATCAGTAGATGAAAGCATTTTCCTTAATAATAAATAGGCTCTAGTAATGCTGCACCTTTCTGCAAACAAACATGCTGTCCAGCCGCATTATGAGCCTTAGTGATGTCATGTTCTTCATCTCCTGTTTCCTCTCTGTGTTTTGCTTTAGAGTGAGTTGCTCCACAATAGCATATTTCCAGCTCCCTGCCTTACACCTGGAAATTGATTGCTTTTGTTTTAGCTTGGAATTCATCCAGAATTGCACAGTCTTGCCTGCCAACATGGCAGTTCAATATACTAATGCATCAGCTTTAGTGTTTTGACTTTCTGATCTCTGGTACTCTGAGTTCAAGTCATAGATAGGAATTAAATGGGTGAGTTTGGAGCAAGATGCTGAGTTTCAATTATGGGCAGCTGAAGTTATCTTGTTAACTTTGTAGTTTGTATGTTCACAATTGAACATAGGATGAAAGATGTTCTTTGGCACATGGAAGCTGCATTTTGAAATGCCAGTTTGGTAGATACTGTAAAACTGAGATGGACAAATGGCCATCTCAGCAGATATTACTATCTGCTCTGATCATTTCCAGCAGGTAGTCAATCCTAGATGCACCAGTGAAAAATAGAAACATCTTAAAGCATAAGTCACCAATTAGAGTTTCCATTAATGTAATTGACCTCAAGCACACAAGAATACAAACACTTATATGCATTCTAGTACTCCTGTCCTAAGAACAATACACTCAGCACAGGCTTCATGAAGCCCACATTGAAATGAGGTTGCCTGCTATAATTAATTATTGGTTAATCTTTTAGTTATTTATATATTAAGTTTCCTCAATATACCTGTATGCAGTTAATAGGAAGATCAAGTGTATATCTTCATGCATTTTGGGGGCGGGGGGATTACATATTATTTGTAATCACTGTTGTACTTAAGGAACTTTAAAATTGCATGGTGGACATTAAAAAAATTGGGAAAATAATAATGATAGCAGTACTTTATTTACCAGTCCACATTAGCTTCTGGGATGCTAACTTGTAGCACATTCATGACTCACTGATCTACAGGCTGAAGGTGGCTCAGATGCCACTCATGTGCCCATATGCTAACAGAGAAGCTTGCTGGCCTACAGAAAGCCTCAGGGGAGTAAGGCTTCCACCAGCATGAGATTCTCTGTTGGAATGAAAGTCCCTCCATTTCCCAGCGAAGTTTCAGTCATTTCATTTCAGGATTGTTCTCTAAGTGTGGTTTACTTTGTAGTAGAAATCAGTTGATGGTGGTGTTAGGTGCAGTCTATTTCAGACTGCTGGTAAAGGATACCATGGATCAGGGGTCTCAAACTCATGGCCTGCAGGCCAATTGCTGGAAAGGGAGGGGCCCTGCGGCCTTCAAAGTGCCGGTGGTGCCCGGGCCGGCCACGGGATGAGCGGCCCACCACCACTGTGGTGGTGGAATACTTGATGCAGCCCAGCCTCACCCAAACTCTACTTCCAGTGGGCCCCAGGCAAGTTGAGTTTGAGACCCCTGCCATGGATGAATGCTCCAAAATATCATAATGCTGGCATGCAGTTAATTGAATTCTTTGCAATTAGAAAATTAGCATAGTTAATTAGTACACAGTTCTTGGCAAGAAATATTGTGGAATATTTTTCCTTGAGGTGCTGCCTATTTTCTTGCCAGGAACTATGTACATGGCATGTCCCTATTTCATCCGTCTACTTCACTAACTCAAGATTGTAAGCTGCATTTTTTGACCAGACTTCCAAAACATATGATCCAGAAGAGAGCAGTTGTAATAGTGAACAAGGCTTGCTGTTGTTACTTTGTTTACATAGTGATCTTCAAAGTCTTTTTGATCAAAGATACAAACCTGGTTTCTTATACTTATAAAGATATGACTATGAACACTGTTGTGCAGAAGAAATGTGAGTGTGGAAAAATTGGCATTCCCAAATATTTGTTCAGTTTCTTAGAACTGTTTCTGTCAAATGGTAATTTTCAAAGGGAAATTGCTAATATTCAATTGTCCAGCTAATGGTATCCAGCTAATATTCTCATAACTGGCTAGTGATGTGTGTATCTTGGCTGTCTAATGAGGGAGCAGTGGTAGGTTTTAAATACCTGCTCTGAATCTTGTTAATTGTGGATTTACCATACAGATGAGCAGTTGAAGGGACTAGTTATAGTGACAGTAGTTGGGATGGCCTACAAAATGACTGAGTTTGCCTTTCTCTTGTAAAATATCTGCTCCGATTCACTTGAAGAGCATCCCACAAAGATTAGAAGGCCCAGGTTCCAAAGAACTGTGAACTTCTGTCTAAAAGCTTGTGAGGTTGTGGACTTTTCCTTAAACAGCGCCCCACGCCATGGTTGCTGAAAGTTCTGAAGTCAACTTATGTTATGCCATGGAGGTCAGCTGTGCAGAGACCAATTGTCTTAGCATAAACCATTTGCATGAGTCAGTGCAGCTCTTGACATCTGAGACAAGATTTTTAGTTGGTTGGCATTTTGAAAAATGAGTTCATTCTAGCCAAATCCTGACAGTATTTACTGAAAATTCACATGGCTTACAAGCAAATTCCAAGTAAATATGCTTCTTACAATTTAATGTAAGCTAATTTGATTTCTTATCCTTCATCTCTCCATGTGCCACCACAGGATCAAATTCAGAGTTGTCTTCCTATAGATGGAAGATGCTTTCTGTTGCAAACTGAAGCCATGCAAGAATTATGACTAAGCCAAGTTTTTTTGAAAAGCAGAATGGCGATAAGATAATTTTTGCTGTTTCAACTTTCCACTGCCATTTCCTATGTGCCCCATCTGTTCTGAGGTGTTGGGGGACTCCTGAACACAATAGGAAGTGGTGCAAAGGACTGTTGAGGGATGGAGTATCAGTGACAATCACCTTCCCACTTGTAGGAATGTTCTGAGTAGAAATCTGTTTGAGGAATTCTCATGTGGGTAGGAAAAAAGTTGGATCAAATGCATAGCTGGAAGGAGAAAATGTTTATTGTTCAGCGTCTAAGAGAGATAATTTTATGCCTAAATAGTCAAAACCTCTATCCCAGAAGGACATTTTCTACAAATACATTAGGAAATTTTAAATTGATGTACATGGGATAAAAAAAGCTCCCAATTTCAAGTACAAGTTGATGGGATCTGAAGTATTGGTGACCGACCAAGCAGGGAATCTTGGGTTCTGGTTAACACGCCTAAGTGGATATCAACTTAGTGTGCAGGTGCTGTGGAAAAAAAGGCCATCTCCATGTTAGATATTTTAGAAAGGAATGAAAATGAAACATGCCGATCCTACTGCCTTTGTATGAGTTGCACTTTGGTGCAGCCACACTTAGAATATTGTATACAGTTCTGATTGTCACACCTAAAGAAGGGTATTTCAGATGTGGAAAAAGTGAAGGCAAAGGCAACTAGCGTTACATTGCATTTGTATCCCACCTAAGCAAACCAAGGCTTACACAGTTGTCCTTTACTCTGTTTTTATTCTCACAACAATAAGAAACCTGTGTGGTAGGTAAGGCTGAGAGTGAATGGTCCAAAGTCACCCAGACATGACCAAGTGGAGAGTGGGACCCAGATCTCCTAGATCCCCAGACCTTGGACTCTAATGACTAGCCACACATATGAAAGGGTTGGAACTGCTCCCCCTTGAGAAAGTGTTTCAGGCCAGATACGGCACAATTATTCTCTGGAATTCACTTCCATGAGTTGTAGTGATGGCCACCAATTCAAATGGCTTTCAAAGAGGATTGGACAAATTCATGGAGGAGAAGGCGATCAGTAGCTATTAGTCCTACTGCCTATATACTACCTTCTATATCCAAGGCAATATGCCTGGATATAACACCTGCTGGTAAGCTTTGGCAGAAAGCTGCAGTTGTATCCTGCTTGTGGGATCCTGGGGACAGCAGGTTGTGCACTGCATGAACAGAATGCTGGACTAGAGCCACCTTGGTCTGATCCAGCAGGGTTCTACTTATGTTCTTATAAGGTCTCATACTATTTACAAATAGATATATTTGGTCATACTTTTTTTTAGATTAAGGAATCCAACCAGGGCATTATGTACAGTGCTAAACTACTGATTATACTTGTATAATCTATGCTGTTGTATTCTGAAGGTAATTTTGAATGCACGGTGGTGGGAAATCCTATTTACTGTTAATGGCGGTCTTGCCTTCTGAGTATATCGATAAAGAATGGGATGATTTTTCCATGCCATGTATTTGGATAAGTTCATGTAAATTAGAAGCCTTCTTTATGAAAGTACAAAATGGGAATCTAGATAATATAAGAATTGGGGTGATCACATTATTTTATTTATTTATTATATTTATATCCTACCTTTTCCAAGGAGGAGTCCAAGGCAGTTAACATAACCTTCCTCTCCATTTTATCCTCATATCAACCCTGTGAGGTAGGTTAGGATGAAAGTCACTGACTGGCTTAAAGTTATTCAGTGATCTTTATGGCTGAGTGAGGATGAGAACCTGGATCTTAGTCCAAGAGTATGTACAACAGATGCTTTTACTGCAGCTGAATATCTGGTACAAGCAAAAATGGGATCTAGATGTTACATGATTGTTCCTTCTTCAGTCTGTCTCCCCAGGATAAAAGTAAGCAATGGCTATAAATAAAAGGAAGGCTAGATTTTGCTATAAAATCAAGAGGAACTTCCTAAATATTCTAGCAATCAAATGAGGTGTTGATCAATAAATCTTTAATTTGAACCTCTTTGAGGCTGTCAAATAAAAAATAAAATGAAAGGACATTCAACTCTCAGTGAAACAGCTGAGGGTTGGACTCCTCTACTGGAGTCTTTCAAGCGTTCCACAATAGAGAATTACTTTACAGTTACCTGATGATGTGATGCTTTGCTGGGAGGGCTGGGCTGCTTCACCTTTAGGTGCTCAGCAAGCCATAAAATAGGAGCTTCTTGAGCTTATGGTACAGTGCTTGTAGATATGGGCATGATACTTTACGGTGATTACAGAGTTCTCGTGGTGACAAGGAAAAATGTTATGGGAATGTTTTTGCACAAAGTAAATATAATGCGACTTATACATCAGTGCACTTACATAACACATGTACAGCATTTTTGAGAGAACTATGTGAAGGCAATTTATTAAGGCTCACTTCCTTTCAAGATGAAGCATGGAACTATATTTTAGGTATTGATCCACAAAAAGGATTTTCATTTTAGTCATTCTATAAAAGTGCTTCTAATTGAACCAGTGTAGTAATTGAATATAAACTTTTTGAAGCCTGAAGTTTTTAGATTCAAAGCCACGTTTAGCAATCTGAGTATTTTTTAAAATTATTTTGTTATGTTATACAATAAATTTAAATCCCTGAAAGGAAGATGAAACATTATGTCTTTAAGCACAATATATATAACATTTAATATTCTAACAGTGGAATTCAGTTTAAGGACATTCTTTAGTTGAACAAAGAGGGAGAGGGGAAGATTTCATTACATTCAGCACAGTATGAGACTAAGTCAAAGTAGTTTTGGTAATTAAATTCAATTGCCATCCATTAGACCAATGGAATGAGATGAATCTACTATACAGCTGACACAGCACAGGTATGCAATTTGGCTAAATGGCTATTTCTAAACTGCAGCACACATTTCTCTGCTTGTTCTCTCTTTTGTGAGTTAGAATTTCTGCACACACTCTGCCCCTGCTTCCAAAAAAAAGAGAGAGAGAGAGAGAAGAGAGCCTGCTGAAGGGCAAAGATATCAGTTTAAATAATCAGCCCCTAAGGACTATATGATAGCAGTGAATCAGCTTGAAAGTGTGTACAAATTTAAGCTTAAAAGGTATGGAGTCAGTGAAGAGAGACATAGGGTTTCTGGTCCCATTATCTGTTTCCCTTTTGATCATTAATTGATACATGTTTTATTTATCCAAGGGTCTGAGTCAATCTTTAAACTTGCAGGAATGAAGTTCTGTTGCATTTAACAACCCAGTATCAATAGTTGGGTGTCTGCCTAATTATGGGAGATATTACTTTTAAATGTAAATAGTAAGGTGATATATTTGGCTTCACTTGCTCTTTTAATGTATGCTGTATGCCAATATGTGGAATTTCTCACTCACTTGGAATTACAGAAATACCACTCAGGAACTGGCCAGGTCAAAATTTTGACAGCCAACTAGCCTATCCTATTTCTGAATGCAGATTTGCACATCATCGTGCCAAGAGGAAAATTGGCTAAAACCAAAGGGGACATTGGGGACTGACACTTTAGGAAGAAATAACATAGCAGTACCTTACACTGGTTTAGTAAATGCAATGATCACTCGAACTGTGTTATGTCCTAGAATCCATGAACTAATACATAGGAATAAATGTGATTGCATTGTGAATGCTAACTGCCAGCATAGTGGTGTGTTGGAGGAAAAGTCAGTATCGTTCTTGCATGAAACAGTTAGCTGTCAAAAGCTGGCAACCATGAAGCCCAAATATGTATGCATAGCCCTATCTCCATAGAGAATTCGCTGGATCAAAGACTACGCAGTTGCCTCTACAAAATATGAACATGACTGAAAGATATATTAGATGTTCGTGTCAGCTTATTTTAGAAGTTGGCTAAACTAACACAATACCCCTGAAAAGCAGAAAGAACCTACTGAAAATTATTCACTGAGAAATGCCGTGAGCACTCAGTATTACTGGGATATTTCTCTTTTTCCTGAGCTCTCCCCCATTCTGGTCATTGATGTATTCATTAGTTGTTTGCAACACATAACTTGTAGGCATGCTTTAACCTAACAAGAAATGATTGCAACAGGTGTGACAAAAGAAAAGAATAATTCCCATACTTAGTTGTTTATTGTAACCACCCTGCCACTTCCTCTATTTCTGAACACTTGTAAAAAATTAAATGAAAACTGAAAGAAAGGCATGAAAGATTGCAAGAAGGTGCAATTCTCGGTCTGTATGACCATCAGAAAGGAGATTTTGTTTTCTATTAACTACTGTTACTATGATTAATTTAAAGGGCTGCATTTTACTGAACAGCAGTGTAGATGATGGTTGTTAACCCATATTCAGTGGTATTTAAGAGTGTGTACACCATTTATCAAAACTTTCTGTAGCCTCTTTCATCTCATTAGCATCTCAATCTCTATTCAGTAGTTAATGTCCGTTACAGCAAGAGTGCTTAGTTCTTGTTTTCAATAAGCCAGTTGTAAAATGTCAGACTGTCACTTGCAATATAAAAAAGCAAAAATGATGATATTTGAAAAAAATGTTACACCTCATAAAAACAAATTGTAAAGACATGAAAGTTATCTTGGTATGTTTTACTTTTCAGGACTTGTGCAGCTGTTTTAAATACCAGTTGCCTAGATTCCCACACTTTCTTACCAATGGAGAGGTTTACACAAGCATAATTTAAGTTACAATTACCCTAATTAACATCTTATTTGCATAAATACTTGAAAGCAAAGCAACAAAGAATTGCCTAAGAAGCCGAACCCCAGTAGAGAAGCATATTGCTTAATGTTTTAGGTTTATATCTTTTTCTTTCTTTTTCAAAGAATGAAGTTATGTTGTTAATACTTTTATTACAATCTGGACGTTCCTACTTTAACTTAACTGTTAAATTTGGTGTGAGTGTGTGTGTGTTTGTGCGCACGAGTGTATGTGGATATCTCCTTCAGAATTAAGGGCACAATTATTGCTTTTTTCCCTGGAAAACAGTATTCAGAGATGATAGCAGCTATCTTGTTGGACAAAAATGGTGGACTTTCGTATTCTTTTTCTAAGTAATTTAAAATAATTCCATCGGTACTAGTCTATTTTCAGTCAGATCAAGTAGTTGGACCATGAGATCAAGTTTGAAATCTCTTCCTTCTACAAATGTTCATAGAAACTGAAGTTTAGCATTTTAAATTGCAGTACAATGGAGTTATTTTCTCCTTTCCCAACACTCATTCAAACTGACATGTTTACAGCATTGTGGACTAGAGCCTACTGTTGATTCTCCAAGTGTTTTCAGACTTCCTGAGGTTGTTGCAAATATTGAACCCCACCTATCATATATCCTTACTCAGATTTGTTTTTTTCCAAAAACAAAGGATCACAGGCTTTAGCCTGTAGAAATGAAACTGTTTGCTGCCTCTGGCTGAAAAGATGAACTTAGAAATGGTTTTTTAAACTTATTAAATTGAAATATGATATTCTTGAAGAGAACAATTAGAAGTGGTTACAGATGAAAAATGTTTTGGTGTTTAATAGAACTTTGATCTCTCTTTAGTCCTATGAATCGTTTGTGATAGAAGGCTCTGAGATATCTCTTTCCAGAGTTTCAGTGTAGCTATATAAAGATTAATGATCATTAGCACAAATTTGATCGTATGACTTGCATTGAAATCTTGGGTATTGTGTACACTTCCCAGATGCTATAAAACTATTCATAGTGTTTCATGTTACTTCGGAATCAGGACCTCTAAAACTTTATCAGAAGAAAGGCTTGTTGAAAAGAAGAAAATCAGGGGCACACAGCCCAGTGTAAGCCTTCCTGCACCTACCAGGCAAGGTTGTCCTGTAGAGAGAAGAGCAACTGGGGCAGCACTCTGGCAGGCTAGGAGATTAGCACTCCACTGTAGTGACTCATCACATTAAGCCTCAACAAAGGCCGAATTCACACATGCCAGACATCTGTTTGAATAGCTGTTTGTAGCATAGCTGCACGTGGATATGCCATTTGTGTGAAGTGGTTCCCCATACCGCTCAAGACTTGCAATGATGGCAAAACTGTCTGAACTACTGTATGTGGAGAGCAACTTCACAGGAATATCTTAATATGTGGATTCATGCTTCCACATACGTGGTACAACTAGCCAGCAGTTGTGGGGCTGCTTTTGGTAACTAGACTGAAGCTCACCCCATCACTCCAAAACAGAATGTGGTTGGCAGAGTTCACTCTTGTCCTCCAGACATAGGATAGAGCAAGAAATACCCCAGGCAAATGAACAGCACTTCATTGCCATCAGTCAGTCAATCAGTTGGTAAAGCCATGCAGTTTTCAATCCTGTGTAGTTAAAACATGACACTCATTCTTTTTACCCCAGATAGATACAAAACATTCATCAAGTAATTCTTACAGAGGCCCACTGATTCTAAAAGATATTCTCTAATGAAATCTGTTTGTCAGCTTATGAAATCCTGCAACATTGAAAACCAAGGCTCTGTTGTTTTTAATATCATCCTTAAAAGTGGTTAAATGGTTTTACCAGATAAATGGAGCAGTTGCCTTCTCTCTATCTTCCTCCCTCCCCTGGATTTTTGCTCTCATATGTTAATGAAGTATTGATTATTTCCCCAACCCTTGAGAGCGGCCATGTAATTATTGCCCTGGTTACATTGCTTTTCAAAACTCTACTTGCCATGTGGACTGTCCTGAATAATCCACTCACATATGTTTAAGTGCGATTAATTCTGTTAAAAGTATTAGAAAAACCGGATGGATTAAGAATTGGGACCTTAGTATATTAAAATACAAATGTTTTAACATTTAGAACTTAATTTGAGCTTACTTTTTAGTCTACCTGAAGAATGCTGTTTTGTGCTGGAATAACTTAACACTCATAGAATCATAGAATCACAGAATAGTAGAGTTGGAAGAGGGCATGAAGACCTTCAAATCCAACCCCCTGCTGTTGCAGGACACCACGTTATACCATCCTACTCAGATGGCTGTCCAGTTTCTTTTTGAATGTCTCTAGTGTGGGAGAGCCAGTAAGAGAGAAAAACTCCTCCAGAAGTTTGTTCTTAATGAAAATTATAAACCACTGTGCATACACTTGGACCACTATTTAAGTGGCAGTGCCTTAGAGCAACCAGTCATGTATTGTTCTCCACCCTTCATGTTTTTGATCAACATAGTAAAAACTAAAGTTTATAGTGAATTGATAATAAACTGAGCTAAGCTGCAGTCTTCTTCTTACATGTCATTGAAAGCTCATAACTGATCTATTGTGCTATAGGTATGCAGGATGTTAATTTAGAATATTATCTTGCTTACATAATGGTAGTATGCTGGTCATATAATGAGGACATGTATGATCCTACCACTGAGGCAGACCACTAGAAAAGATGATATAATTACACTGGATTGAATGTTCCAGATTCATGCTACTTACACATAGAATTACAGTACAGTTCTAAAATGAGACAGTATTTTCACTGACTAAGAAATTCTTAATAGAAATATATTATTTACACTATTTTCCCAGCTGTTTGAAATACTGGATGAAAAATTACCATATATGTCTAGATACTGTTAATATTAAAAGTGTATATAAATTGCAGGCACTTTGAAGACCAAATGCTTATAGCAGAGAAATCAAACGTATGAGTCAATGGTCATCAAAGCATCTGTTTCAGAAATTTTCTGTTTTATATTTAGGACTTGAATTTACAGTTAGTTATGTCCCTAAAGGAGCAACCCAATGCATGTTTAGACAGAAAAAAGGCCTAAAATTTCCAGAATGCGATAGCTGTGTTAGCTGCAGTATTCTGGGAATTGTAGGCCTTTTCCCGTCTGAACATGAATAAGAATGAGCCTTAAAAGAAGAGAACAATTTTCCAGGTTGGCCAAGTGTTAACTAAAGCAAACAAAGTCAATAGATGATTCTGTGCAGGAAGTGTTCACAAGCTCCCTGCAGTTCTTGTTCTTACACACCATTATCATGTCTCAAATACAGACTTTGTTAACCTTTTTGACAGGGAAGTGCACAATCTGTCTGTATATCAGGAGTTTGCACATCTTCCAGGTGGGGGGAGGTGAATTTTGGATGTGACATTTTTAGAGATGAAGAGGAAACGTGGGAAATGTCTGCATCCTGTCTTGTGCAGCAAGGTAATGCCCAAAGCAGCTCTTGGCCTTGAGATAAACATATCAGAAAGGAAATTTAGAAGGCAAGGCATATTGGTAATTGAGCCACATAATGCAATACTGTGATTTGTAACTTGATGTGTAGCCACAGAGAAGCAAACTGACCATGTAGAAATTATTCTTGTGGCCTAAAAGTCCTGTGTTCAAATTCTCCCTCACCACATATTTGAAGCAGAAAGTTGGTGAACACATGGGAATATAGGACCTGCAGGAGAAAAGCCTCGACTCTGTTCTGAATTGTAGTTACACTTTTATTTGAAAACTGATATTATTTGAAGTGGAAACCTCAGTAAGTAATTGCAGATTTTAAATTAGAGTTCTGTATGATACCTAGTATGCATGTGTTTGTGTTTGTTTTCAGATATTTGAGGGGGGTTGGGAACAAGCTTCAGGGACTTCTCTATAACAGGGAAATGCAGAAAGTAGATCACCAGTTACTTTGGATTTCAGCTCCCAGAAGACCCTGTCAGAATAGTCAATAGTTAGGAATGCTGGGAGCTGAAATCAAACACCTCAACTTTCTGCCTACCCTGACCTACATAAGCCTTTTCTGCCTGTTAACCTTGAGATGCATTAGACAAGATCTTCCATAATTCCAGTCAGGCATGAGAATTGCACGCCAGTACATTTAGGGCACCAAGTTGGGGAAGGCTGTTTTATGCTGCCCCTTTATTTATTGCTCTTCCTATTCCTGACTGTGTTGGGTATGCACACATGTGGTTATGGGTTGTGGGTGCCATCCTATCTGTGAAATAAATGCACTATTTTGATTTCCATGCAGATGCACCCCATTCTGAAAAACACTTTATTGGTTGCAGCAACATCCCACAGAGTCATGGAGGAAAGGGAAGACATGAAACAATAGTTTGGAGGTAGTTCAGGACCAGTACTAAAATGAAAAGCAATTTTCATGGAATCAGGAAACCATGTTTATCCTAGTTATCACATTTGTATCCCATAGCCCTTAAGGCAGCGTAAATGGTGTTATATGTTTATTATCTCAACAAACCAATGAAACCGTTTTAGGCTGAACGATGGCCAGAGCATTCCAGCCAAGTTCATGGTTGATGTGAAATGTGGATGGAGATCCTCCTGGTAATACTCTGTGTGCTCCATTATACTGGCACACTGTGAAGCGTGTGTTAGGACTTAAGGAGTTGATCAGCCTGAAAAGATTTTTCCAGGATGTGCCCTTACTTTTATTCCACTCCAAATTCATCAGATCTTGTGTGCAAGCTTAGTGTTTCTTCTGATTAGTTCTTTCGGAGCCTTCCCAAATGTTCAGATTTGTTGCAGTGCTCACACTATCACCTTGCCACAAGGGTTGATAATTAATTTCTGGTTAATAGAAGTAGGTATCATTGATCAGCAGAATGAATTATATACATTGCAAGGAAAGGAGTAGTAAGTGGAGCTCTGAAGTGTTTAGGTGGGAAACATTTATGTTTGCCCTTCATTAGGAGCAACTGTAAAATAATGCAGCTTATGATCATGTTAATCAAAGAAGTTGTCATTGCAGTGCATTTCTCATTTTTATTTGGCATGGATAACATGACATTTGTTAATTTAAGTAATTAGTAAACCTGAAATAACTGTCTTTGATAGTTAATTACTAGTTGTATTTTTTTAAAAGAAAACATTCAGCCAAAATTCCAACGTTAAGAACCAAACTTCAGTATTCAGACAAACAGTGCTTTATCAGAAATGTTAACAGTTTTTTAACTTTAGATTTGATTATGAATGAAAATATCTCTAGACAGGAACATTTTTATTACCTCATTTGATTTTAGAGAGCTGTGCTTGTAAGCATTTATAGTGGTGCATAATAGCTAGAGATGCAAATATCACAAGAATGGAGGTTTGCTATAAATTGGATGTATCTAGTATTCCATGAATACTTGCTCCCTGACAGCCATTTCTGTAATCTCAACCAGCTCCCAATATTTGTTGACCGGCTTGCTAAACCCATTTATTGCAATCCCAGCATCACCGTCTTCTTTCAGCTGGTTTCCACAATTCTCTTGATAGAGGTACCAGGCTGACAGAATGAAGGAAATTTCATATCCTCACCCAGAGTAGACTTGTGCATTTTGAAAAGATCAGCTCCTGAATCTGCAAGTTCCCACAGTACTGACTCCAGGCACTTTGCTGTCTGAGGCAAAAACCAAATGTCCCCAGCAAACAGCATTTTAAAAAGTCCACTTGCTAATCTGGTTCCTGCCTTACCCACTGGAGCTGCAGATCAGATTTGGCTGAATCCTTAACGGAATAAGTGTCTTCTGGAAGGATGCTGAAGATTTTGTATTTAATATGGGGTTCCTTTGAAGTGGACTTCATCTAAATCTGAATCTTCCAAAAGATCTGCTAGTAAGGGACACAGAGACCTTGACTGTGTATAAATTGACACCTTAAAAAAAGAAAAAGAAACAAGCTCCCCCATATGCTGAAATTACCAAAGTCAAGGAGATAGAAGATGAGATGTTGATTTTTGATTGACTGCTCTGTCTTCTAATTGCTGTATAGGCTGTATTAGGGTTCTCCAAATCCCGGTGCTTTGGGGCAGGAATGTCAAAACAAAATATCACAGATCGTTTTTGTGGACCTTTGGTAAATGTGGGATGTAGCATTGTTGGTGTTTGCATGAAAAATTCTGGATGTTTAAGTACTTCTTCACTATCTCCTCCATGTTTCAGCTCTATCATCAATTCCTGGCATATTGCACCTTCTGTGATTTTGGTGCCAGTCGAAGACTAAATGAGAAAAGGCGGTTTTCATTAATTACGGCTCATTATTGCCCTTGTCCTTCTGAAATTGTGCAGTTTTCTTTCTTAGGGACCCTTCTATGATGTATGTCATTTTCATACAAATAATTCCCCCCCCCCAAAAAAAATCCACCTACAGAAAGTAGAAGAGAAAACAGATCACTCCTCATCTCTGCAAACAAAACTGGATGCTGTACCACAATTTCTGAATTTTTGGGTTCTTTTAGATAGGAGTAATCTCTATGGAGATTGTCATTTTTCTAACAGTTGTCCATAAAGAGTATAGATAAACATACACAGCCTCTTTTGGAAACTCCAAAAGTGTAAAGCTGGGGAGGGAAATCACTTTTGTTCCAGGGGCCAGATTACCACCCCTCCAAAAGGATCTCTCTTTGTGTCATTCCCCTTAGGGATCAAGACTTAGGGAGGGCGGTGGTAGGGCCCATGGAGCATGCTGAACTCTTCACAGGCCTTATTGGGCCCCAGCAAATGCTGTATTAGGACCAAGGGTTGGAGATTGCCTTTCCTTGCTCTAAAAACTGCTCTGGCTCAACCCTTGGTATGTTTCACTTATGTGGAACTTTGCAGGCTTCATATACTTAGAAGGGGCAACCATACTTGTAATTTCCATCCAATTCTTCCAAGAGATAGAAAAGCAATTGCAATTCACTTTTTAAAAGAATACAATGCAGGTATGAGTCTCTGTATCTGGATTAGAAATAAATCTGGAATCAAAGGATTAAAGCCCTTTCATGTTCCTGCCTAGCATCCCAATCTGGATCTGGTCCCCACATTTTATACTGAGTAAGGAAAAAGCACTGATGTAGCTGCATGCTTCTTAGTAAAGGCAACATGGCTTACCCTGACTTTTACCCAGCTAGTATGGAGGGGTGGGGTGACTTCAAGTGCCTCTGATTTCCTCTTACTACACAGCTGCCAGATGGAATGTACAGCTGAGTTTCACCAGTTGCATGTATTTCTCAAGCTTCCAAGTCTGTGCTGTGCAAGTCTGCTTCAGCCAGTTTCAGAGCAGTTAGAAGCATAGTGTGCTTACGAGGCCAAGCAGCTCTGCATGTTATACTGCCTTGAAGTCCTTAGGAATGAGGGTCAAACTACATGTTACATAAATTATATAACATGCATTTCTTCCTCTAATTAAGATTTATTGCAAAGCAGGACCACTGCACATGGGAAAGGGAGCTTTACTAATTCCCCTACCTGCTTGCTTCCCAAAATTCAGCCCTAGGTGCAGCACTTAAAACAAAGGAAACCTTCAAGCTTGCTGGCCCTTACTTCGGAATATATCACTGTCCCAAAGGACTGAACCCCCTTCCCCTCCAACTCCCCCCCCCGAGATAAATATAATGCTATTATCAGGACAATGTTCATTTATTTTTACTTTTTATCCTTTTATAGATTCTTTTCTCTTTAAGGAAAAGACATAATAAATCTTTTGGACATAGTTATGATTCATCATTAACTCTTTATGGCTAGAACTTAATTTGCAAGTCATATCCATTCATACTTGGTGAATTTGGTTTCTATTCATCCAGCTAAAGATACATTTCATAAAATTAATTCAGGATGCAATCGTATACACAATCCATGTCCTCCATGGGACTTCAGTTTCACTAGACCTATGTAGATTTGCACTCCAGAAGTGCTACAGGACTCTGCTGCTTTTGTACTATTACGGACTAATGTAGTTGCTCTGCTCAGAATGTGTTACCATAGGAAAATTAGTTTAGCAAAGGAGTGCATACATATAGGTAAAGGTAAAGAGTCCCTGTGGAATTTACTCCACTTAGCCAGCAGCTAATGGGGAAGGGTGGGGGGTGTTGATCTCTAAGGCTGTGAACCAGAGCTGTCCAAAGATGATCCTTTGGTCATGTGGGCAGCATGTCATCATGAGTGCTATTACCTTCCCACTGCAGTGGTACCTATTTATCGACTAATATTACATGCTTTTGAACTGTTAAGTTGACTAAGAGCTGGGGCAAATGAGGGGAGTTCACTCCATCTGGAGGAGGCTG